TGCCAATGACCATATAATGGAGGACATAAACACATAACATCTATACATAAATGTGTAGTCATTAGCCAGTACTTCCATATATTTTACTGTATGAAAGGTTGGGTTCTGTTTATAACTGCTACATTGCCTGCTTACTACCAACAGAGCCACAATGAATCCAAACAGAGAGGAAGAAGAATCTGAGCCAGAGCTGCAGCCCCAACCGGCCCGGAGATTCGGCAGCATAAACCCGCCTTTGATAAACATGGATAAAGTCTCCAGGTACACAGTAATAGTATTTATCTCTTTACTTCACTACCAGCTGGAAGTTCATGCAACAGCCAGGTAATGCCATTGGTGTCTGTCAGCCAACTGTGTGAGTTGTCTGCAGTTTCGGGTTAATATTACACAGAGCTTTTTCTCTAGTTCTGCACCTGTAGTTGTCCTAGGAAGTGAGCTTTGCTGGCATCCTACAGATGTGGCCATGCTATCTTTGGTGGCATCCTACAGATGTGGCCATGCTATCTTTGGTGGCATCCTACAGATGTGGCCATGCTGTCTTTGGTGGCAGTACGCCAGCACATTTTCTGCAGCAATTAAAATGCCTGAACTGTTGTCTCAGTTCTACACTGAGGATTAAGTCTTTGGCTTCATTTTATTCAAGCCTGTGGTTCCGAACCTTTTTGGCTTCAGGAGCCCTTGTAAGAATCATTATCTTTAGGGGAGCCCCTCACGCCTATCCTATGTCCTACGAATGAGTAGATTTTAAGAGATTCCTAATGTGGAGCATAGGTTGGGAACCAGTGAATTAGGCTAAACAAACATTGAGGGCAAATAAAAAGTGTAATGAACACCATACATTAATCTGTGAAATCTATTTTCCACATCTACGTAAATACTTTGAATATATCAAATAAGTAAATACTGTAAATATATTACATAAGGAAATACTGTTAATATGTTACATATGTAAATACTATTAATATATCACATAATTAAATACTGTAAATTTATCAGATAAGTAAATACTGTCTATCATATGCAAAAATACAGTCAATATATTACAGGAGCCCTGAGCTATCAGCAATAGATGAAGGCAATTTACCAATCATCCCAAGTGTTACAAGTATGTCAAAGATGTTGCCCCCTCGCAGCAGAACATCCAGCGGCAGTGACGATGACAGTGACACACAGAGCAGGTTTGTTGGCAAAGTTGAATCCACGGGTCTCCAAACCCCTTTTAAGTTTGGGAACTCTGTGAGCCCCGCAATCCCTTTGCTAGCTGTATGTAGGTGTTTTCTCTTGTCTAATTGTTCTCATTGTCTGTTTAGTTAACTGAATAAAGGAGTCATATCTCCTCATACTTCCCAAGTTGTTTTTTTTTTTTTTTTTGTTCGTGTTTNGTTCATATCCCAATTACACTGTAATGATGTAGTAACAGTGCCCCCCCCCCCTTTTTTCATTTTTGTCTCAATTTTTTGCATCAAATCATCCCCCTAAAGCTGGGAAATCTTTTTAGTTGTGAAAGTAAAAAAAAAAACACCCCAAAGGCTTGCTTTGAAAATGTTAACAGTAACACATTGTGCTTATTGCAGGTTGCTGATAAGAGCCTCTCAAGCTACAGTAAGTGCTTGATATGTAAGCTCTAAGCAGCTCCTTCAAATCTTCCCATGTAACACTTTATTTCAGCATGTTTTATACTGCAAATTTTTTTATATTGCCCATTATTTCATACTCATCAGGTTTTATATTCAATTCAAAACAATAGGTTAGCTTGGAAGGTTATATTTATATAACAATCTATGGAAAAAACTTGTAGCAACAAATTAATTGAAATTTCGCTGTCCCTGGATGACAGTTTGGGCAACACTTGTAACAAGCACGTGATTGATGTGAATATTATTATCTAGTCATAATCTCTACGAAATGTAATAAAATAATGGTAGTAAACAACTGCAAGGTCATATGGTAAAGGTAGTGCAAAACAGAGTGGATTTGGTGATGGGGGATTTTTGTGGGCCCTAGTAAAGAAAGGTTCATTAAAACCACCCCCCCCCCCTATGGCCAAGTTTCTGACATGTCTCCTCTCTATTACTATCAGTTTAAGTTAGGCCCCAGTTTCTGACATGTCTCCTCCCTATTACTATCAGTTTAAGTTAGGCCCCTAGGCTTTTCTCAATCACCATAACCATATCTCCCAAGCTTGCATGGCACATGGCAATTTTTTCATTGTGACCCCCTGTTGAAATGACAGTGCTTTTAAAATTGAACAAGTGGGTGGGTCTTGATTAGCGTAGATGATTTATCCCGATTAAAATTTAAAAAACTGCATTAGCTGAATTTTTAAGTGATTATTAAAAGATGTGAAGTGTAATTAAATCCAGCTTGAAAGATGCAGGCAGGGGAAAAATAACAAATAAATCTTTAGAAATATCAGTGTATGAATTATAACAATGACTTCTAGGCAATTTATTGAAAGTCTTAGTGAAATATGTTGACAAACTGTCAAAAATTCATAGGCTTACACTCACTTACAGACAAGGCAAGTCAATGAACATTTCCCTGTTGCTTTATTCCTCTATATTTACAAACATTACATTAACCCCAGTCAGGGGTGTTGACAAGGGGGCGGTAAGGGGGGGATAGACGCCCCTGACCCCAGTGAACCAGTATTATCTCAGGTTGGTATTAATTTTTCAGTTACTCCTAACTAACTAAAATCAGGTCCACGGAAAGTGAGATATGATATCATTAAATAAAGTTTGACTTACCAAGACCTATGAGTAGCACACAACACTTCAGCATGTCTCAGTGCAAGTGACAGACATAATAAAGTTTGACTTACCAAGACCTATGAGTAGCACAAAACACTTCAGCATGTCTCAGTGCAAGTGACAGACATATAATAAAGTTTGACTTACCAAGACCTATGAGTAGCACACAACACTTCAGCATGTCTCAGTGCAAGTGACAGACATATAATAAAGTTTGACTTACCAAGACCTATGAGTAGCACACAACACTTCAGCATGTCTCAGTGCAAGTGACAGACATATTACTCATGCATTTTGATCTATTTATTTCTTTTTTTTGAGGCATGCTTGAACATTTGGTAAAGTCTTGGGAGCACAGCATCAGAAAATTAATTGTCATTTAGGTGGAAATCTCAAAAACTTAAAAATCTTTAACATTTTTTACAACCAGTCATCAATTATGTATCATTATTTAATAAGAAGCAGTTAATTTTTCATTTTGTATAAAAATCCTTAACAAAGTGGGTTTTGTTTTACAAAACTTTCAGCAATACAGCACTTAAACAGCGTTTTTTAATTTAAAACTTTAAATAAAAGAAATATTTATTATTTTTATCTATGTATTTGAAAGACAAATTTTTTTAAAATTCTGCAGTTATTTTCTGTTGTTAAACTTAATATTAATTATTTATTTTTTAAAAATATTTGTTGATTTTAATACTTATGTAAAACCTCTCTACATTTGATAAGTAAATTTTTAGGTAAGCCTTTTCTTCACCAAATATTCTTCATTCTCAATCATTTTATACTATACATATAAACCATTTTACACCATACCTATACTATAAACAACTTTACACCATCTCTATAAATCAATTTAAAACATTCCTATAAACAATAAATAATTTTACACCATCCCTATAAATCATATTACACATTCCTATAAATTATTCTCATATGGCATAATTTTATCCCAGGTTGGCGAACCCATACAGGCTCATGTGCCATTTTCATAAAGAGTTAATGTCATTACATGTAATAAATAAAATAAATGCTGCCCAATTGGGCCAGACAAGAGTGAGGCAAACGTTGCACTTGCCTCGTGTAAACAATGGGAAATGGCGCCAGTATTGAATACTTATTATAAAATTTTAAAAATGTTAAGATAGGGGCTCAAATCTGGCGCTGTAGTGTTATTGCGCACGATGCTCACTAGTAAACTCTCTTTCAACTGTCTTACACGGAATATTATGAGATAGATATATTCCGAAATTTACTTTTAATTTAAATTGGCTGACTCCTTTTTTTTTTTTAAATGTCATTATATAGGTCTACCATATTTTTATAACATCATTATTGAAGACAGTCATGTCTCAAAATCACAATCTCATGACCCACCATCATTATTAAAGGCGGTCATTTTTTCAAAACCGCAATCTCATGATCTGCTTAACTAACCACCTTGATGTGTTTACTCCACAGCCTGAGGGAGGCCAGGAGGCAGTACCCCCAGTACATTGAACCCCTGATCCCGGAGGTGGACGAGGAATACATAACAGCCTATGCATCGTCTGAGCCCAGCAGCCCAGTCAACTCGTATTTAGACAACATGGACACGCAGGAGGACTTTGGCAGACGGAGATCCGTGCAACCAAGAACCAGTTTCAGAAGACACTGACCTTTGCTAATGAAATAATTTGTAGAGTTTCTTTGACTACTAGCATGATAACTGATGATAATAATAAAACTTAGGTTTAGGTTTGTAATTTTTGCTTACGTTGTTCAGCCTAAGTCGTTGTTCAGCCTAAGTCGGTAGTTCTTCAACTAACTGTCTGAGGGTTTGGTAACACACACACCCCCATTATTTTAATAGCCAGAAATGTGAAATGATACGAGTATTTTATTGTGGCCCCAGATGATTGTTTCAGAGCAGACGTTAGAGGTGAATGGTTTATGGTTTGAAATGTTTGGACATGAGACCAAGTTAGAAATATCTGTTCACAAACCTAATGGATACAATATAGATGTTACTTGAGTGCTGGCCCCAGCATTGAGCCACTACTGATTTTTGAAGTCATGTGATTATGTACAGTAGTTTTCACGCCAGGAGTTTTATAATGTTTCATTTATGCGTGAAGGAAATGTCCTACCCATTCATTTAATTGGTGTTATGTTCCAGGGTAAAAAAAAATTATCCCAATGCTCTTTAAAAGCAAATTAAAAGATTACTTTTTAAAAATAAAAACGAATTCATTTTAAGCAGGTTTGTAGACTTGTAATCTTCACAAAACAAGTTGGGAAAGCCAGTGCATTTTGTTTTACAGCATGTCTTTTTTTTTTTTAAACACGCAACAGCATAAATAATATTGTGAAAAGTCTTTAATTGCAGCGCAAACCTACTGGTGAACTCAGTCCATTTTGATGTTATTTATTCACCATGCCATGAATCATGATATTGTACAATGCAGCTTAGTAAAAATGCAAAATGATCTTTAAAAAAAAATGCAGTACTGAAATTAAAAGAAAAACAATATTTTGTGAGGCTAAGAGCATTGCCTTAAATCACAAAATAGGAGCCCTGTACAGCATTGTGGCCATTTCAGTAGTGCATGTTTTGGCGCACCCTATATTACATAAACGCCCACGCATATATACTTAGATTTAAAAAAACACTCATTACTTTATTTAGTATTTTTTACAGTCAAACATTCTATACTTGTATACTTTGATTTGAGTTTAGATACTAATGTGGAAATTTTTTTATTATGTATGAAAAATAATGTACAGACAACTTGTGTTGATGCCCCGCAAATGATTTTCTTATATGTGCATTGTAGCCATTCATCATGTCTTTCATAAAGAGCAATACATTTGACCCATTGGGTTCTTGGGACAAAAGCCTGACACGTTAATGTAAGTCCCACAGAATTTTGCGCTTGAGAATTTTTGTACAGGTTTGAACAAGCATGTATTTGGAAGTTTTTATGTTGTGAATTGACATAATGAGTTATTACGTATATTTGTATGTGAAACATTGGTGCTTTTGGTGGGCTGAGTGGTGTATAGTGGTAAACTGATAGATGATGTAAAGTGGTAAACTGATAAATTGGAAGTCCCAGGTTTATTTCTCAATCTACAACTACAGTGATTTGTGACCAGAGAGATATACACCTAGATTTCTTGTGTACTATACACTTTATATACAGTATGCGCCAAAAGTATCATTACTGAAACCGCCACATCTCAAACGCATATGTGCTCCAGCATGTTCTCAAGGAATTTTCATATTTGACCATCATTTCCGCTCACAAGTAAGTCGTTGTGAAGGATTTGAATTAAGGAGCATAACAATTCCAAGAGAGATTAAATAAAACGTCACTTATGCTATTGTTTTGAAATTTGGGAGTTAAACAAGTGGATTGTCTCCCTTACATTTTTCCCGAAAATGGGAATCATGTCTGCGTTCTCCAGAAGGTGCTGTGTTCCCCTCTATGAGGTCTACAGTGAGCATCCTTCAAATTGAACATAAACAATGTGTCAGGTCCTTGATTGTTTAAAAGGACACAGGTGCATTTGTGTACCTGATACAGGTTGGACAACGCTTGACAAAGCCAGATGTGCGAGCCAGGGTGTGTGAGCCAGGATGAGGTGTTGTGGAAATTTGGCTATGGGGTTTGAGGTTCAAGAAATTTTATCATTCCAATTTGGATTATGTTTTAATGATTAAATAAACAGTAATAATGATTGTGTTACTGAAACTTTCATGGGACAAGTTCACTGCAGTGCTGTATTATTGGAGAAAGACTTGGATCAGTGCAATACGAAGCCACTCTCATCTGCTTTGTCATTTCTAAAAAAAAATTTTTTTTTAAATTAATATATTTAATTAGTGTTGTGGATATATTATTTTAGTTTTCTTTGAGGGTTCAAGGGCCTGACCAAATTGTCTTGTGGTTCAAGGGCCTGACCAAATCACTTTGTGGGTTCAAGGGCCTGACCATATCACTTTATGGGTTCAAGGGCCTTACCAAATCATATTGTGGATTCAAGACCCTGACCAAATTGTCTTGTGGTTCAACGGCCTGACAATTTCACTTTGCATGGGTCAGCCTAACTTGATTTTTGATGACTACCTGATCACTGGTGTGATTTGGTTGGGAAGAAATTTTTGTTTTACCAAAAGAGATTTATTTTTTTTAAGCTGTCATTTAATTAAATTTTTTCCATTCTTATAACTGAATGTTACCATATTTTAAATGCACTGGTATTTTAAATGCCACTGATTGATTTCCTCCATTTAATTTTGTAACAAAAATCTTTTGTGTATCATCCTAATTCATGTTTTTAAATAAGTGACGCTCTGTGTGTGGTGTTGGATGCATTGGCATGAATGGCAGGACTTAGTAACTGAGGCTTAGGTTGTCATGATTGTAAGTTGCTATAACAAAAATAGTTAATGATCATGTGACATGCATTGTTTACCCAAGAACCATTATTAAACAAGAGTGACCTCAACCAAACACAGCAAGAAAGTTCATGTCATTCTTGAACAACATTCATTTTGTTTTGTAACTTAGTGCAAGTGATGTCATCTCCTGGCTGATGGATGAAAGAGATAATAAATGGAATGAACAAATCTAATTAATATTTATTGCTTCCTTGCTCAGATTTTAGCAACTCTGAGCCACCTCCTTTCAGATCATTAAGTATGATTAAGTGGCCAGCCACATGAATATAACATGTCATGGGCATTAGAATGAGGTAGACATTGGTGATTGAATTCAAAGAAACTTAAGATTATAATTTGTTGTAGTAGTTAGAAGATAACATTAAGAAGCCATTGCAAATTAATGAGGTAGACATTGGTGATTGAATTCAAATATATTTAAGACTACCGGGTATATATTGTAAACTAATTTTAGACAATGTAGAAAATAGACCCTCTACACTGTAATTAACTTAAAGAAACTGCTTTGCTGAGTTACAACTTATAATTTTTCAGTGGGCAATGGAAGTTATCCCACAAACAAAAAAGAAAAGGCCACACATGTAGTGGAAAAGGGGGGGGGGGGGACAAGGGTAAAGAGACCTAACCATGTTTGAAATCTAGGATAAATGTTGAAGGGATTAATTCCCAAATACCCTTGCTGAGTTACAACTTATAATTTTTCAGTGGGCAATGGAAGTTATCCCACAAACAAAAAAGAAAAGGCCACACATGTAGTGGAAAAGGGCGGGGGGGGACAATGGTAAAGAGACCTAACCATGTTTGAAATCTAGGATTAATGTTGCATGGATTAATTCCCCAATACCCTTGAAAGCTTCAAATCAAAAGTGGATTTTAAAACAAGTGACTAACATCCGTCCAAAGATTATCAACAGTAGGTTTTGGTGAATTTAACAGAAAAGAAAGAAAGAAAAAATATCCCAGCTTTGTTCATATTTTTGTTAAAAAGCTAGATTTACATATAAATTCTAGATGACAGTTGCTGAGATTCCAAAATTCCCTATCAATGTTGATCAGGTTTTTTGTTTGTTTGCTCCGAGACCCAACAAAGTGTGTGTGTGTGTATGTCACTCAATCGAATTTTTCTGGTTAATCTTGGCCACGTCTTGGTCAAGTTGGCGTTCAATGCTGAGAGGTAACTCTTTTCTTAGATGAGGAGGAGTAAAGTTGGTTGTGAAAAAACATTTCCTCTCCTCAAATGTCCATGGGGAAGAAGAATATGGGTCACGTCTGTGGAGAGACCGTTGGACAACGTATGTGAGAATAAAGACCATTGGACAACTTATGTGAGAATAAAGACCATTGGACAACTCATGTGAGAATAAAGACAATTAGACAACTTATGTGAGAATAAAGACCATTGGACAACATATGAGGGAATAAAGAGCATTGAAAAATTTGTAAAAACAAAAAATGTGTTGTTGAAAATAAAGAATATTTTTAAATATTGTGAAAATAAATATGTTTTAAAATATTGTGCTAGTGAAAATAGAGAATTTTAAAATATTGTGCTAGAAAAAACGAAGAGCATTTAAATATTGTGTGAAGGGAAAATCAAAAATAATCGGGGAGGGGGCGGGAATGTACTAGTGAAGTATTGTGTTGGATGAAAAAAAAAAGAGAATTTGAAAGGTATGTGCTGGTGGAAAAAAAGAGCATTTGACAATAGCGTGATAGTTTTAAAATATAGGAACAGGCCAGGGTGTGTTTTAAGAAACTTATCTCGGTGATCTTTCCTGAAATTTAGTAATTTCCTTGTCTTTTTACGAAAATTCACAAGAATGTTGAGTACATCATGCTACGTGAAGATGTAAAACAAATCTAACACGAAAAAACACTCTTGCTCTACTCTCTAACCTGGGCATCTTGTAGAGTGCCGACATAGTCGCAATGCTTCCGTGGGGGCGTCTGGCATTACAAGAAGACAGCCTAGACAGACGCTTTGACGGGGGGAACTCGCCTTCCTTGGTCACAGGCGCAGGTGGAACAACCTCGTCCTTCGCGGTGCTGACTTCCCTTGCCGGAAGTACAATACGGATCGGCATCAGGCGCACGGATGACTTTCTGGCGTTCCTGAATGCGGTCTGGGTATCTGGAATTATGATAAAAAAAATGTATTAAAGCGATAATAGATTGTTCGTAGGCTCTAGTTATTTTTATTTTCAAAGTATCGTTCTGGTGGCCATGAATGGTTTTTGCCATCGCTTAGATCGACCCCGTCAGCCTGGGATGGCGGCTGAAATAAGTAAGTAAGGGAAAACACCGACTGCAAACCTCTGCTGCCTTGCGGCTACAAATCCCATCGCAGAAAAGTTGTGCTGGTAAACCCATGAGATGGCGGTTTTTAAACAGTGCGCTATACCGTACGCAAGGAAAGTGTGCGGGGCCACCGGCGCCAAGCCGTATGAGGTTATTTGTTAATGTTATTTTTTGGGTACACCCGCTGCGTTGAGAGGGATTGATTGGTTCCTACTGGAAACAAATTGATTCTCCATTAGAAAAACATCGCTCAGACTTATTAGTTTTGCCTGAGATATTTCTAAGGATATTACACTATTTTTCTTTGGAGACGAAAATATGCTCAACCCCCCCCCCCCCCCACAAAAAAAAAAAAAAAAAAAAAAAAAAAAAAAAAAAAAAAAAAAAAAAAAAAAAAATGGTAAATAAAAATAATAATAAAATAAGTATTGACAACATATAATCCGTCTATTCCATTCGAATCTCCACATCTTATTTTTTAAAGCTATGCCCCACTTTTCCACAAATCCACTGCTGCAAGGCGTAAATAATGCATCCCCCACCACCCAGGCGTTTCCCCAGAGGTTGGCGCAGAATTCAAGTTACGGGAAGTTTACATTGAATGGCTCACCTTCAGCTGCCTGGTTCCGGATCTCTTTTAGAAACGAGGGAGTCTTCTTCCATGACGTGACGGGAGTTTTGGCCAACTGCTTGTAGTGATGTGCCGTAGTCTTGAACGCAGCCAATGATGTTTTGGAGGTGATGCGCTGGATATTACCTGGATTTCAAGAAATGGGGGGATATGCTGGAGATTACCTGGATGTCAAGAAATGGGGGGATATGCTGGATACTACCTGGATGTCAAGAAATTGTTTGATAGATTGATATTACATTGATAGGAATAAATAGGGGGGGGGGAATAGCTGGATATCACCTGGATAGGAATACATTGGTTATCGGCAATAACTTCTAATGTTATTGTAAAATAACATTTTGCGTTGAAGTTATTTGTATTTTATTACTCCTAAAGTATATCATAGTTTATATAACATTTATAGCCGTATTATTTCAACAACAACATTCAACTGTTTTGACCATGTTAATTGTAAATCAACAAGCCCTATTGGAAGACATAAGGATTGAACTTTTAGAATTTATTATTTGTAAAACATTTTACCACTGATGACATTCAACAAATCTACGACATTTTACCATTGATGACATTCAACAATTGTTTCTCAAACCGCTCCCGTTTTCTGCGATCTTCTAGAAGCAGTGACGTCACCGACAGCCCCTTGTTGGATACAGCCACTCGCAGATGGCGCCCTTCTTCAAAACTTCCGGCACCGTCTCTGTAGGTGGAGCTGTCCTTTCGTATCATTTCAATGCCCTTAAAAACAGAGTAAACGATTATAAGTATAAGTTATTTATATGTAGTCATACCGCCATACCTTTTATTAAGTAAGTATTATTACTTACTTTCTTATGCCTTTCTACCCCGTCTGTGGCATAGGCCGTCTACAAGAATTTTCCACTCATCACTGTCCTGTGCCTTCCTTTCCAGTTGCTTCCAGGTGCATCCCATATTTTGCGTGTCTGTCTCTAGCTCGCGTCTCCATGTATTCTTAGGCCTTCATCTCTCTCTTTTTCCCTGTGGGTTCCATGTTAGGCATTGTCTGGTGGTGCTATTGGGGGAAGGGGGGGTGAGGTGAATAGGGCAAAGGCGCAGACCCCCCCCCCCCCCCACGATTAGAGTATTATTGCTTAACATATTATGTTCCTCTGAATTATAGCATTACGTCGTCACATACTGGACATGGGAACAAGCTCTTTTTAGCCCTTCGCATACTGTAGGCGGTCACATATGGAACATCTGAGAAGGTTGTCTGTAGACTGTCACATACTGGACATTGGAGCAGGCTGTATGCCGATTGTCACATACTGGACAATGGAGCAACCTGTTTGTAGAATGTCACATACTGGACAATGGAGCAACCTGTTTGTAGAATGTCACATACTGGACAATGGAGCAGGCTGAATGTAGGCTGTCACATACTGGACAATGGAGCAGGCTGAATGTAGGCTGTCACATACTGGACAATGGAGCAGGCTGAATGTAGGCTGTCACATACTGGACAATGGAGCAAACTGTTTGTATAATGTCACATACTGGACAATGGAGCAGGCTGAATGTAGGCTGTCACATACTAGACATTGGAGCAGGCTATATGTAGACAAGGGTGCCAGTCAAGCTCAATGTGTTAACAACACCGACATGGAAAAGGGGGACTGTTAATTTATGTGTGTGTCTCCTCCACATTTACATGGTGCGAGTTGATCATACAGTTTTTATTCATAGTTACATCCCTTTGAACTATTCAATCCTGTAGTTGAACTTTTCAAATTGTTTTGTTTCTTTTATTAGTGTGCTATCCTGAATTGGAAATGAAAATTCATCTCAAGATCGAAGCACTTTCGAGTCACTATGTTTTAGCATTCGTGTGCATAGTCAGGAGAAGATGGCATTTTACAAAAAAAATTAAACTAGCTGCAGTCATAAGTAAACATTTAGAACGCTTGAGTCTGCTTTAGAACCATGTCTGAAATGTCAATAAACGAACATTTTCTTTTATCGCGTGTCTAATGCAGAATAAAATAATATATATTTCATTGTTTCCTAATTTGATTTTTAAAAATCCTAGCCAGCATAATGTGATGGCAATGCTTGTTATAAAAATTTCAAACGAAATCATTTGGGTTACGAATGCTTGAAACGCATGTACTAAGACAAGGCGCAGCAATACATTCATTACGAATGATAACACCCAGATCAACTAGACCAATGTTCTACAAATATCAAAAAGCCCAAGTATTTAGACCTAGTATATATATTTATCAATACATATACAATACAAACACAGAAATGAAGATAGAGTAATGTTTTTGGAGCACAAACCTTGATTAGGTTCTAGCCCAGTAATTTATTATTTTCAGAGCTAACATTTAATCATGCAAAGTGAGTTTTTTTTAAAAAAAAGATGAACATGTTTGTATTGTAGCTGACATGAAACTATAAATAAACGCTGGTGCGCATCCTTTTGGCGTGTAAAAAAATTTTGGACTAAAGCAATGTAACACTTTGATGTGTTTATCATTTTACTATTTAACTTAATATAAATATTTTATTGTCTAAATTCTGTCTACAAATAACAAAAGCCCAATTATTTCGACCCATACCAAGACTTAATTTTTTTAAAAACTATATTTAAACGATTAATTTAAAATAAAAGATAGCTTTTTCTTACAAGTCCTTTGTATCCATTTTTGTTAGCGTTTAGGTCACTGTGCGTGATTTATCCTTGATGTGATCGTAGCTCCTGGTTTTTTGTATGGGAATGGTTTTTATTAAACTTTATGCATGTAAAACCTAATATACTAAAGACATATTTAAAGCCAAATACGTGACAAATACAAAGCATAAATAATAAATAGCAACAACTACACACATTAATCTTCAAAACTAAATCAAGCACCCATGGAAAAAACCATTAACAACCCCCCCCCCCCCCCCCCCCCTTTTTCTATAAAGACATATTTAAAGCCAAATACGTGAAAAATACAAAGCATAAATAATAAATAGCAACAACTACACACATTAATCTTCAAAACTAAATCAAGCACCCATGGAAAAAACCATTAACAACCCACCCCCCCCCCCCCCCCCTTTTTCTAATTAAAAAAACAAAAACAAGGGAAAACGTAGTTTTGGGAGTTGGGGCTGAAAATTTGATGGGACGTGTTGTCATCGGCAAAGAGTATTTGTGCCAAGTTTCAGCTCGATAGGATGACCGAAAGTGGGCCAGTTAGCCTTCTGAAGATTTTTGCCACTAAAAAGAAATAAACTCTTGAATAAAAAAAATCTAGTTTACTATAACTGATTAAAAACATATTATGTTTTTCTGAATTAGACACACAAAAAAGGATAACGTTAGGGTTATTGAAAATTGAGAAATAGTTATAATTTCTATTTTAAATTTACAGAAAATCTTGTTTCTTGTTTTGTATCGTCTGCTGAAGAAGGCGTTTAGCCGACACGTCATTGTCCTCTATTTTCTTTTCAAGCCTAAGCATACTACAGTGTTTCATGATTTATTTACTAGACGCGGCTTGAACGCAGTGCCTCCTATACAACACCTAATAGTCCCCTACCTTCTGGCCAGTCTACAGTGCGATAACTTGAGTTATAATTAATCAAATACATTTGAGATGGGATTCAAACATTCTTAAATATTCGTATTTAGTTCGGCTCCAAAACAGCTCAAGTTTCGGTTCTGTTCGGTAAACAAATTTGAAAGATATCATTTCGGTTTACAAAAATTCGTTTCGCAATTGGGATTTCTTGTTTTCTGATGAAGGCGCTAAACCGAAACATCCAAAACGTTTGTCTTGTGTATGACTTCAGGTTTAGCATTCTACCGTGTTCTTATGGTTCATTGAAACAACTTGAATGCAGTCCATCAATTATTATCTTGGGATTTCTTTCTTTCTTTCTTTTTCTTTTTTTTTTTAAACTTAAAATTATAATTAATTAAGTAGTGTTGCGCCACATAAGTAGCAAAATCAGTTTGTAACAGGTTCGGAATCGGTCCGCAAGAGGGTTCAGGGTCGTTGTGTTATGTTTCTGGATCGATTCCTATCTGCAATGTCTGTGTATCTATATATATATATATATATATATATATATAGTTATATATATCGCACACTCTCTCTCTTACTTATTATTTTTCTCAATTTTTCTCTCTATTCTCTCTCTTTACTTTTTGTACCTCTCTCTCTTTCTCTCTCTTTCCCTCTATCTGTCAATCACGCAATCATTCCTCACTCTTTCTCTCTCTTTCCCTCTATCTGTAAATCACGCAATCATTCCTCACTCTTTCTCTCTCTTTCCCTCTATCTGTCAATCACGCAATCATTCCTCACTCTTTCTCTCTCTTTCCCTCTATCTGTCAATCACGCAATCATTCCTCACTCTTTCTCTCTCTTTCCCTCTATCTGTCAATCACGCAATCATTCCTCACTCTTTCTCTCTCTTTCCCTCTATCTGTCAATCACGCAATCATTCCTCACTCTTTCTCTCTCTTTCCCTCTATCTGTCAATCACGCAATCATTCCTCACTCTTTCTCTCTCTTTCCCTCTATCTGTCAATCACGCAATCATTCCTCACTCTTTCTCTCTCTTTCCCTCTATCTGTCAATCACGCAATCATTCCTCACTCTTTCTCTCTCTTTCCCTCTATCTGTCAATCACGCAATCATTCCTCACTCTTTCTCTCTCTTTCCCTCTATCTGTCAATCACGCAATCATTCCTCACTCTTTCTCTCTCTTTCCCTCTATCTGTCAATCACGCAATCATTCCTCACTCTTTCTCTCTCTTTCCCTCTATCTGTCAATCACGCAATCATTCCTCACTCTTTCTCTCTCTTTCCCTCTATCTGTCAATCACGCAATCATTCCTCACTCTTTCTCTCTCTTTCCCTCTATCTGTCAATCACGCAATCATTCCTCACTCTTTCTCTCTCTTTCCCTCTATCTGTCAATCACGCAATCATTCCTCACTCTTTCTCTCTCTTTCCCTCTATCTGTCAATCACGCAATCATTCCTCACTCTTTCTCTCTCTTTCCCTCTATCTGTCAATCACGCAATCATTCCTCACTCTTTCTCTCTCTTTCCCTCTATCTGTCAATCACGCAATCATTCCTCACTCTTTCTCTCTCTTTCCCTCTATCTGTCAATCACGCAATCATTCCTCACTCTTTCTCTCTCTTTCCCTCTATCTGTCAATCACGCAATCATTCCTCACTCTTTCTCTCTCTTTCCCTCTATCTGTCAATCACGCAATCATTCCTCACTCTTTCTCTCTCTTTCCCTCTATCTGTCAATCACGCAATCATTCCTCACTCTTTCTCTCTCTTTCCCTCTATCTGTCAATCACTCAATCATTCCTCACTCTTTCTATCTCTTTTTCTCTCTCGCTTTCTCGTTTTTTTTCCCGTTATCTACCTACCTAACTAACTATCTACCTACATACCTACCTACTATCTATCTATCCATCCATCCATCCATCCATTCATCCATCCATCCATCCATCCATCCATCCATCCATCCATCCATCCATCAGGTGGAACCATTGTTGTGGTTAAAACACAGGTGGAACTAACGACAGGTACTTAAAACGACAAGAGGGCGCCAAAAATGTTTGTGTCGTGTCAAAGGAGGAGGGTGGGTGGGGTGCTGATGTGTGTCCCGACACATACTATGTGCTTCCTCTTCCCTGTCCGCTAGTCGTCAGGTCGGCCGTAGTGCTGATGTGTGTCCCGACACATACTATGTGCTATGTGCTTCCTCTTCCCTGTCCGCTAGTCGTCAGGTCGGCCGTAGTGCTGATGTGTGTCCCGACACATACTATGTGCTATGTGCTTCCTCTTCCCTGTCCGCTAGTCGTCAGGTCGGCCGTAGTGCTGATGTGTGTCCCGACACATACTATGTGCTATGTGCTTCCTCTTCCCTGTCCGCTAGTCGTCAGGTCGGCCGTAGTGCTGATGTGTGTCCCGACACATACTATGTGCTATGTGCTTCCTCTTCCCTGTCCGCTAGTCGTCAGGTCGGCCGTAGTGCTGATGTGTGTCCCGACACATACTATGTGCTATGTGCTTCCTCTTCCCTGTCCGCTAGTCGTCAGGTCGGCCGTAGTGCTGATGTGTGTCCCGACACATACTATGTGCTATGTGCTTCCTCTTCCCTGTCCGCTAGTCGTCAGGTCGGCCGTAGTGCTGATGTGTGTCCCGACACATACTATGTGCTATGTGCTTCCTCTTCCCTGTCCGCTAGTCGTCAGGTCGGCCGTAGTGCTGATGTGTGTCCCGACACATACTATGTGCTATGTGCTTCCTCTTCCCTGTCCGCTAGTCGTCAGGTCGGCCGTAGTGCTGATGTGTGTCCCGACACATACTATGTGCTATGTGCTTCCTCTTCCCTGTCCGCTAGTCGTCAGGTCGGCCGTAGTGCCGATGTGTGTCCCGACACATACTATGTGCTATGTGCTTCCTCTTCCCTGTCCGCTAGTCGTCAGGTCGGCCGTAGTGCTGATGTGTGTCCCGACACATACTATGTGCTTCCTCTTCCCTGTCCGCTAGTCGTCAGGTCGGCCGTAGTGCTGATGTGTGTCCCGACACATACTATGTGCTTCCCTGTCCGCTAGTCGTCAGGTCGGCCGTAGGTCTTCTGCTATTCTGTGCCGTCAGCTACATTAAAACCTCGGTCTTATGTTCCCAGTGTTTCTCAACATGTGGTTGGTAGCGTAGAGTGGGTGATTTCACGTGGTCTTGTACTGTTTTGCCTACATATTTAAGTATATGTATGTGTATGTAGTATCTTTATCAATGTCATTGCCAAAGACCTCGATGACGTCAGATGTTTGTTTTGAAGTGAATAGGATCTTGTATGATTTTAAAACATTTATAAAGTCATCAACGGTTATTATTTTAGGGTTTTAATGTAAGTCACCAGTGCGTTGACAGAGTAGTGGTGGTCCACAGGGACGTCTACAGCTGGGGAGGGGGGGGGAGAAGAGGGGTTGATAGACGCCCCTTATGATCAGCAATGCAAATGTACATTTTTTTTTTTTAATGTTGTACCCCAGTGTAAAGGTTTGGAACCACTGTCATATGATGTTTTACGTTAGAACATGACAAGTTATTGCATTCCCCATTGTTTTCATTTAATCATGGTTACATGCTCTTTTTTGTATGGTGTCATTCTAAGTGTATAGCCACAGCATGCACATACTTCTAAGTGTATAGCCACAGCATGCATATACTCACCTGCATTGCCTGGGGGCTGTTCATTTGTGCAGCAGCAGAGATGTGTGTGTGTGTGTGTGTGTGCATGTGTGTTTGTTTGTGCGTGTGACAACAAAAGACGGGGTATTTACTCTTTGAGCTTTTCATTAACAAAAATTATAT